GGGGGGGGGGGGGGGGGGGGGGGGGGGGGGGGGGGGGGGGGGGGGGGGGGGGGGGGGGGGGGGGGGGGGAAGAAGACAGCGGCGTTACATACCGTACCGGGATGGAGGGAGTGGGGCCCGGGGAAAAGGCGAAGGTATCCGAACCGATGTCGATCGTCTCTACGTCTTCCATCACGATCACGTTCTCATCGGTGCCCTGCCCGAGTTGGCCAGAGCTGCCCTGACCCCTACAAGTCGCAAGCATTGAGCGGCACGGAAAGCAAGCGATACGGCGGTACGGAATCGGAAAGTGAGCGTTGCGGTACGGACAAAAAAAAACACCAAGCGTTACGGCACGGAGGGCACGCGGACACGGACGTACGGCCCTGTCAAGACGGAGATACGTTGACCGATTTGGCTTGTGACTTGCATCAACCTACGCAATGATTGCCCGACCACCAAGACAAAACCTTGTTGTCAACAAAGCAAGCATACACAGCCGATCGGTCACCAAAGCAGGCAGCGCATGAAAACCCCAACCCTCACGCAACATATTCCGAACACCGTCGCCAAGTCAAAACTGGGCTTCATTTCCTCACCAGCAAATGACGGAGTCGTCAGAGACGATGGCGCAGGTAGTGGCGCCGCCGCCGGCGACGTCCTGAGCGGTGTCGCCGATAGCAGCAGCAGTCAGGTTGTCGCCCATGTCCGTCGGAAGCAGGCCGACGTTTTCGGTGGTGCCGGTGCCGAGCTCGCCGTCCGCGTTCTCGCCGAAGCTGCATAAGAAGAGGTGTTGGAGGAGGGAGGGTGCGGGGCAGAGCAAAAAAATCAAGAATGATAATGGACGCAAAAAAACAAGGGTACGTACGGTTAGGCCGAGAAGAAGGAGGGGCAAAACGAGCACGTGCGGACAAAAAATACATGGTACGTCTACTTTCTAGTAGTGAAAGAGCGGAGGGCCTCTCTCGATCTCCACCAAGCGGGTGGCAATAAGCACACTCCGCACGTGCTGCAGAAGGAACTTGCGTCCGCCACCACAGCAGTGTTTTCTCTCTCCTGCCTCAGTCCTCGCCGCCAGCATCACCGCGTTTTTGCAACTCACCACTTGGCGGACCCATCGTCGAGGAGAGCGCAAGTGTACAAGTAGCCGCAGTCGATAGCCGTGGGCACGTCGCCGGTCCCCAGGGCGATGGCGGGGAGGTTGGCACCGAGAGTCTCCGCGGAGTCTCCCCTGTCGAGGTCGTCGCCCTGACCCAGCTGGCCGCTGCTGTTAAGGCCCCTGCGGCAACGTGCGTTTGGCAGGGGGAAGGAGCAGCGAGAGCAAAGTGGGTGAGCTGTTGTCAGGCCCCCTGCGGCAATGAGAAGTGGCGGATATGGGCAGCGGGCGGGGAGCGGCGAGAGGCAGACGGCCAGTGAAGGCTAAGAGAGAACATGAGGAGAGCAGCAAACCTCTGTAATGAGGAATCCCGTCGGTCAAGAGCAACCTCAACTGCCTCACTACAGGTGTCCGACAAGCCTATGAACATGCCACTCATCGAGACCACAAATTTAATNTAGAGAGGGGGAGAGAGCGGGGGAGAGGGGGCTCCGTGGAATGCAAAGATGCCCCGCGCTTCTGGTATGTGCAACGCGCAATGCGGCGCCGTCTCCAGTTGCAGCAGTCCAGCAAGCAAGTCTCTCTCGTCTGTCCCCTCTGCCCTGTCCATCAGGAAGGCCACCGACAGCCAGCAACCTCTACTAGAGGCTTTACCAGTAGGTCTTCGGGCCCGATATTTCACTCCATCTCGATCACAGCGGCACACCCAGAGGGCACACGGCAAGGCAGTGAATATATAAAGCCAAAGAGCACCATGCAGATCTTCGTCCAAGGCTTGGGCGGCGGCCACTTCGCCGTGGACGTGAGCTCCCTCCGGGACTACCGAGTTTCGACGCTCAGATCGGCGGTGGAAGGACTCTCGGGCGTTCCCTCCCACCTCCAGCGGCTCACCTCCGGAGCGAAGGACCTGGCCTCGCCCTCCGCCAGCCTCGACGACTATGGTATCGAGCACGGCTGCACGGTGCGGCTGTCCCTGCGGCTCCTCGGCGGCATCGACTTCCAGCACCGAGAGGGTTCCAAGTTCGGGGGCGGCGGGGTCATGTCCGAGGGCCAGGCGGCCGTGGACCGCAGGGAGAGACTGAGAAAGCTGGCCCAGGAGACGGTGGACCTGAACAAGGACCCGTACTTCATGCGGAACCACCTGGGCAAGTACGAGTGCAAGCTATGCCTGACCCTGCACAACAACGAGGGGAATTACCTGGCCCACACCCAGGGCAAGCGGCACCAGCAGAACCTGGCGAGACGGGCGGCGATGGAGGCGAAGAACGCCCTGGTCAAGCCTCAACCGTGAGTGCGCGTTAAGTTGGGAGCAGTTGCTGAGGTTACTGTGGTAGTTGCTCCTCCGTAGAGCAATGTAGTACGTAGAGCACCGCTTCCTGGGCGTTCCAACCACCTCCGATCGCGTCGTGTGCCATCAAAAAACACTGCTCTGCGAACCCCCTCGCCTAGGTGCAGGATGACCGTTTCCACGTGCATTTCATCAGTAGACAACCACTTGGCGCCTGGCAGCAGCATGCTATTTTATTATAATCACCACAGACAGACACAACGATATTCCGCCTTCCTGCCGCAACACCGGGCACGAATGCAACACCCACCCCCCCGTCAGCGCACCCTTCATGCGACCTTGTAAAACAAGCCCCCACCTCGGTGTTTGCCATCGGGGTTGGGTTTTCGTCGCTTGGCAACGACGTTGTAAAACAAGCCGCCCCCCACGGTGTTTGCTATCGGGATTGGGTTTTCGTCGCTTGGCAAAGACGTTGTACAACAAGCCAATTCACTTCGTGAACTCGGCAACCAGGTTACCGTTTTCTTTTTTTTACCTCCGGTTTTTTTCTTGGCGGTCACCATAATGGTGG